TTTTTTGGTTCTAATGCCCATCAAGTAATTTTAGCCTAATTTTACTAAGGAGTTGGTTTTCACTGAATTTCTTGGCCCAACTTTCATATTTTGTCAAGATGAGTGATGAAGGGATTCGTAGGCCGGTTTTGTTAGAAAACAAGTGGATTTTTGTTAGCTTAACTGGGAGGTTCAAACCAGCGCAGTGCTCAGGGCGCCTTCGCATACCTCCGGTGAAATTATCCTAAATTTATACCTTCTATTCGACAGAAATCCTCAGAGCTGTATATCAATCATGCTACACTTTTAAGACAACACCGAATAAAGAAAGCTAATCGACTGAGCTCCACATGCCAACTACTTATAAAATAAATCTTACATAGGCTTATTGTATTACTTCGATACTATATTTTAGTGTACTTATGTCTGTCTAAGTGTTAGATTACGAAGTTTGCAGGGCTGAGGTGAGATTTTTGTCTAGTTCTTCAGGATCATACTACATGTTGAATCAGAGAAACGTATGTTGAAATTTTTTTTACCGAGGTTTGAGTATGAAATAAAATGGTTACAATATATTTGACTAACAGAACCTAACATGATTGAACTAAATGAGTCGAACTTCGTCTTCTTTAGAGTTCTACTCACAAATCGCTTCATCACACCTACACGCAAAATAACAGTCAGCCCCATCTTCTTTTGCTGCATACCACTTCACTCTTACCACTGGATCAATTAGTATACATGCTTTAGCTCATTGAGAGATAAACTAAGCAGAGAATTACGTATGCTTCATGAACTCAATCCATTTCTAACAAAAGAATTTGGGATAAAGTTGAAAGCAGAGTCATACATGTATCTACTCTGGTGCCAAGAGCATCTCAAACTATTACACCAGTATTATGGCTGGATTTGGTGCTTGAGTGAAACTGTTTAAAGAATCATCTATTGCTTTAAAAGTGACCTCAATAGAGTGAGCGAGAGCTTAGCATGAATTTTCTTGAAAGCGGGGCTAAGAATTTCTATGCTTACGACAACACACAGGCACACACATACAGGCACCAAGGGAACATCCTCACTCGTCCTGCAAAGTAGCCTGCTAGATTCTCACTCCTTTCACACGTCTTATACACAGTTTTTCGTAGCACACATTATAGCCATAATATCTTCACTCGAGTATCATAATTTGGCTATTGCTTAAATCCCTGTCCTTTTGACGTTGGCAGGTTGGCTAGAAGTTGCAGATCTGAGCAGAGCCCTCTCACAAGGGCTACAAAAGTGGGGTTTGGAAGAGGTTTTCTGCCGTTTGTCTTATGAATGCAAATGAATTGTCTCTCGGGGTCACATTTTATGCTTTTGCACAAAAAAAGTTTGGGTTGCCTTAATTATGTCGCAAAATATCTCGGAATATCTCATTATATATTACCTTTTTGGACTGCTAGCTCCGTTATTTGACAGACAGGGCAACTTTAATCATTCTTTACTTTCGTCCAGGTAAGTTATGGTCCCGATTTGATCAACAGGAATGTACGAAAATGCGTGACTTTGCAAAAGTGGAGAGGGTGAAATAATAGATTGGTTTATGATTTTGTGCGTGCGCGCGTGAGGGTGTGCGCATGTGTGTGTGTATTCATTTAGATGCCGAAGTGTTACTACAATAATACATGAAGTCTATTGAAGAGTTATTTCGGCTCAAACCTATCAGCCTCCTTTGCTGTCTCCTCATTCTCATTTGTTATCTCTATTTGTTTATGGCACTATCCGATTAAGCGAGACGGAAGAAGTTTACAACTCTCTTCCTGAGAAGCCCGGTTTGTAGGGCAGGGCTTCAAAACGCTTTTGCACGAGCTGGACACGCACAGGCGAGCATGAATGTGGGAGAGGGTATGGGGATCCTGATTTGGAGTCCCAGAGCCCAGTACAAGATCAAGTACCCGATGGTGTCTGCTTGGGTCGTCGCGATGCAAATCCGTCCAAGCGGAGAGAGGATCGCTGTTCAGCTGTTGAGTAACCTCAGGGGCTCGAACTTTGGGCATCAGAGCCGACCTCCGACCAGCCGCTTTTGGAGTTCATTTTTTCGCTAGCACTTGTTCCGTCTGATTTTAGCAAGTCCATTGGACTGCTTAACCACTCGACATTGTCTTCAGAGCTGACCGACCTCTGTGTAGTGGATCGAGGAGCCTCAAAGTCACCGGCACTGAAGTGACTATCCGGCCGGCAGACATCTCCGTCGCCAGAACTGCCTTTCGTTCTACTCACGGCGATGCCTTCTGACCGCGTCCCTGCGGCGTTGCCGAGACTGCTGGTTGTGCTCGTGGAACTGGTGCTACTGACATCGCAGACTTCGCCCATACACTCGCGAACCTCGGCATAGCTTGCCTCTGGAGTCCGCGAGGTTGTCATTCGTCTACAGACTCTGGGAGTGGAGCAACTGGCTCCGGTGCTGGAGCACGAGTTGGCACCGTCACTGTCACCACTTCCGCTGCCACTGTTTGAGGAAGGGGATGTTTCATGAGGCTCTGTTTCAGAGGCTAATGATTGGTGGACTCGAGTGGTGTGGCAACGAGGCTCGTAGCCGCTGCCTTCTGGTGGATGCGGCCTTAAAGATCCACAAGAAAAACCAATGGGCACAGTGCAGTCTGAATAGCCTGCGCCGTCAGGCAAGCAGGGCCACAGTTGGGAGCTGGTCTTGAAGCATACCTAGTAGGGCAAGAGTATTGGGTTTCTTAGGTGTCAATTGGTGAGGAGTGAAGTTGAATAGGTTCCATGTAAAGCAATTTAGTATGGTTGTATAGGACTCCTAGCGATATTTCCCACAATTAATCGAATGGATGGAGCTGAAATTCTCTGCTTTATGCATCTTAGGAGACTGATCTCATCCAGCGTTGATCTTGCTTAGGCTTCGTCGACACATCTACTTGGACGATTGTTTTTAATATTTAATTGCCATTACAGTCGACAGTACTTGCTTTCGAATAAAGTAGGATTTTTTGACTAGCGGTAGTAAGGAGACAAATGTATTGTCCCTTAATCAACACAATCCTAGCACTTTTGAGTAAGAATGTAACAGTGACTTTTAAAGACAAGAAAGCCTCCTTAGATAAAAACGATTGGAGAAGACGCCAATGTGCGTTTGCTACGAAACAATATTTCACTGATTTGACGTTAGTGATATGTTGTTCGCAGCAGTCAAAAACCCTATTTTTGTCAATGAGCACTGGCTTCATATGGTAAAAGCACAATTCCCTATCAATATAAAAACATGCTTTGGAGAGACATTCTGTATCCTGAAAGTCATTCTTACTATGCAAGTAAACGGTCCAAGGGTGTTAGGTTGGGGAAGTATATGCGGCTGCCTCTTAACTCACACATCGACGATTGCCAAATGAGGCTCAGGCGTGTTGAAAACTATAGTCAAATATGGAAGAGATTGCTTATTGGGATAATTAAAGAAGCCAATTTCAGTGAAAAGCAATCCTTACCTTCAAATCATTGGAAGGATAATTGCTAGTAGTCACTATTTGTCTATCAAAACCAGTTCATATTACCGGCCATTATCTTCCCGATAACTGTGGAAAATTGCAGGATATTCGTGGTAAGTAGGACAAAGAGGCTATCACTAAACCTTGAAAAAGTGCCTGAGTCAACCTAGGTCGCTTGAGGTGTTGAGGGACTGTCAGTGAACTCCCCAAAAGTGAGATGGATAGTCCGCAAAATACAAATAAATTTCACTTAATCTTGCTGCCAAAGATATTCTCGTCCAGGTTGGATCGCAGTTTCTACCTCGCTTAGTTTTCAGCATCACCCGGGTTGTGCAACATGTAAATTATACATATAATTACTGTCCCACACAACCGCTATCATTTCTTGATTACCTTGAGCGGCCTAGGCTGACTAAAGCTCTTATGCAATATCTACTGCTAGTACTACTGCTGTATCTATTGAAATCCTATTTAGCTCGAAAACAAGT